GCCTGCCTGCTGCAAAGAGCTTCTGGTTTAGAGAGAAGAAATGGATATTTCTCCCGAAGCCTGGGCAGAAAAAAATGGATTCTTATGAAAGGAAATTCCAAGAAAGTTTCAGAGGAGACATTGATGCTAGCAGTGGAAAGTAAAGGGGAAGAGTTTGAATTGAAGCTGGAAGAAATGAAAGAGCCACATGATTAGGGAGTGACAAAGACTCTTCTTGACTAAACTTGAGTGCTGTTCCTCTGAGCCCACTTTCTGATTAGGCCCTGACCTTGGGCTCTGTCTATGACTGGCTTAGTCCTGTTTTAGCAAGAACCCTGCTGAGTTAGGAAGACCCTCCACCTTACCTGCAGTAAAAATCCTACCAAGTCAGCTGAGCCAAAATCCCCCAGCCTTGCTGTTTCCACTTAGTAACTTTCCATCCACTGATGGTCCCCTGCGTCTGCTCCTTGGCTATACCCACTTTGCCTTATGTCAGAGTTGAGCTCACTCTCTCTCACTGCAAAATCCCATTGCTATAGTCTCCTTCTTTTTTTTCTTTCTTTTTTTTTTTTAAATGAGACCTAGTCTCAAGCTTTTGCCCAGGGTAGAGTGCCATAGCGTCATAGCTCACAGCAACCTCCAATTCTTGGGCTCAAGCAATCTTCTTGCCTCAGTTTTTCTATTTTTAGTAGAGACAGGGTCTCGCTTTTGCTCAGGCTGGTCTCAAACTCCTGAGCTCAAGCAATCCACCTGCCTTGGGCTCCCAGAGTGCTAGGATTACAGGCGTGAGCCACCACACCCTGCAACAATAGTCCTCTTGAGTGAAATCTTCCTTGCCCTCCTGAAGAAGTCTCTGATTAATTTCTTACTTAACAAAAGAGAAAAAGAATGGGGTGGAGAGTAGAAATACCACTGGGTAGAAGGCAGGGCTCCCCCGGGGCAGGTCAGCAGGGGAAGGGCCAGGCATGCCATATCCAAGGGTACTGGGTTCCCAAGGCCCTGGGAGCCTACCAGGGAAGGGGTGACAGGGTCAAGGGTCAGCTCTGTGCCTAAGAAAGCCTGGTTCCTTGGGCGATGCCTGTGGCTCAAAGGAGTAGAGCGCCAGCCCTATATGCCAGAGGTGGCGGGTTCAAACCCAGCCCTGGCCAAAAACTGCAAAAAAAAAAAAAAAAAAGCCTGGTTCCTGGGAAAGGATAAATGGAGAAAGGTGGATAAAAGGACAACCATGCAAGGACCACCACTCCCGTCCCACCCCCACCCACACACACACACAGGAAAGAAGGCTAATCAAGTAAAAACAAAGGGGGTGTGGAGGGCAACAATAAACTTTGTACTACTGAAGCCAGCAGTAGAAAGCCTTCCACAGGCTATAAATGTTCTGCTGTCTTCAGGAGCTGAAAGAGCCATTGAGGCTGTGTGGTCTAGGAGGCTTCCTGTAGTTCCTTCCCTCCTTCAACAAACAAATGGAGCCCAGTGGGTGGCAGAGATACTGTGGAACACTGGGGTACAGGGGAGTAAAGTGGAGGTTCTAGGAAGTGGGTACAGTTCATTGATTAGGATGAGAACCAAAAAAGGAATGGGTAGGGAGATGGAGTCTGCTCCACTTTGCTGAATGGGGAGATTGTGGCATTGGATTTTCAAGGATGAATAGAAGTTCAAGGGGGCACTGAAATGGGCATTCCAGGCAAAGGGAAAAACAGGTGGGCAGGTTCAGAGGGTGAAAAGGCAAGAACACTGTAACCAGCTAGACATGGTACAATGGGCATAGGTAGGAAGGTACAGCCTGAGAAATGGATGAGGGGGCTGGGACTTGGGAAGGACCTGAAGGCAGTATGTGGGGTTGTGCGGGGGTTGCCTCCTACTGTGGAGCTGGATAAAGTTCTTTTCATCTCCTCCTCTATAATGTGGGGGATAAAATGCCCCACTGGAGTTGCTGAGTAGACTTAACAGGCCAGCAGAGAGCTTGCTTGAGGACAAGGTATGGACAGGGTACTGGGCATCCTCGACTCACAGAAAGCCCCTTCTTTCAGGCCCTGCTTTTTCCCCCTGATTACAACTTCCCCCCCACAACTGTTCTTTCTTCTGTTATCCTAAGTGGCAACTAAGTGAGGCTTATTCACATTGAAACTTCCAAAGTGACCACAAATGTCTACTCTATCTAGCTCTCAGCTGGACCATTTTTACTTGCTATGTGTGACCTTGCAGGCTGCTTAGCCCATTACAGCCTCAGATCCTCTGTCCTGTCTCATGGGAGAAACCCTGCTCTGTGAGAGCAGTTCAGAATACAAAGAGGGATGGCTATGAAGTCTAAAATGTGTCCGGTGGGGGTGGGGCAAGTGGTTCACACCTATAATACCAGCACTCTGGGAGGCCAAGGCGGTGGATTACTTGAGCTCCACACCAGCCTGAGCAAGAGTGAGACCTTGTCCCTGCTAAAAATAGAAAATGTAGCCGGGTGTTGTGGCAGGTATCTATACTCCCAGCTACTCAGAAGGCTTAGGCAAGAGGGTTGTTCAAGCCCAAGAGTTTGAGCTTGCTGTGAGCTATGACATCATCACAGCACGCTAGCCTGGGTCAACAGAGTAAGACTCTGTGTCTCAAAAAAAAAAAAAAAAAGTGACAAAGGTATTGTAAGAAAGCCAAGCAGATATGTGGGTTAAGAGCTCCCAGAGGAACAGCAAATGCCCTAAGGTAGACTTGGGCCTAGTCTGACAAAGGAGACCAGACTGGCCAGAACAGAATGAGCAATGGCAAGACTGGAGGCCCCTGCAAGCATCCAGGCAAGTGGTGACCCAGGTGGTAGAGGGAAGGTGGAGAGGAGGGGTCAGATTCAGGAGATGGCTCAGGCAGTGGGATTTACTGGTGGTAACATATGGGAATGCAAGTAAAAGAGAAAGCATAGATGTCTAAGGTTTTTGGCCTGAGCAATGGAAAAAATAGAGTTTGCTGACAATTGAATGGGGAAGACAGAAGGCAATACAGGTTTAGGGGCTCTGGCCAGGAGTTCTATTTGAGACAGGCCAGGTTTGAGACCATCTGCCAGATACCTGAGTGGAGATATCAAGCTGGCAGTGTGATAAGAGAGGCTTGAGTTAGGAATGTGACTCAGACTGGAGACATAAAATTGGGAGTTGTCAAGGTAGAGATGTAGTTAAAACCTTGAGACTGTATGAGATCACTTTTTAGGGTGTGTCTGTAGGCAGAGGAAAGGTCAAGGATGGAGCTAAGGAGCATGACCACGTTCAGCCATCAGGGAGAAGCAGGGGAACGGTAATAGAGATGACATAGAGAGAAATCCAGGGAGTACACAGTCCGGGAAGCCAAGCCAGGAAGGTGTTTCTGGAAGGAAGGGCCAGTGAGCTCCGTGGAATTAGGGGAGGATTAATGGGTGGCCTTGGATGTGATGACAAGGAGGTCATTGGTGACCTTCACAAGAGTAGATATGGAATTTCTCAGACATGCCAACTCAGAAGCCCAAGTGTAATGCAGTGTGTACAGTAGTCTGCCACTGAGTGAGAAAGTAAGGACCACACACATATAGATATGCTTGTGTGGACAGAGAATGTCTCATTCTGAAGAGACACATGAGAAACCATTAACACTGGTTGCTGTGGGGGAGAGGAAATGGAAAAGGAGGTACCTGGAGTGACAAGAGATTCATTTCTTGTTTCATATTTGTCGTGCTATTGACGATATATATTTTTCATCTAACATATATTACTTTTTCAATTAAAATAATTATGAAGAGAAAATGTTCTCTTATGAAGTGAGAAAAT